AATACAGTGCTGCAGGCGCTGCTAAATACTGTTACTAAGAAGTGAAGCGGTTGAACTCCTGTGCTACGACAGCATGTTTGTGGCTAGCCCACCCTTTCCTGAAACCATGGGTATGACATGAAACTGAACTTGCTGCAAAATTTCCCCAGATGTTTGAAATAACTTTACTATACAGTCTTACTGTGCCTTGACTGCTGTGGTGGCAAAACTGTGACATACTTTATACCATAGTAACTTTATACCTTCCCCTACACTTCAGTTCTGTTTTTCAAGACTGCCTTTACAAAATACAGTGCGGGTGTATGAAGCTTTTAGATCAATCACATATTTTGGGGACAAACAGGAACCAGAACATGACAGGCTGTTTTGCACCTGGTAGAGCGGGTACCATGAAGGCGTAGCCCTAACCGCAGCGGCTCGGGTTTGAGTTCAATCCATGGCCCTTTGCTGCATCTCATCCCCTCTCTCTCTCTCTCTCTCTCTCTCTCTGTCTGTCTGTCTGTCTGTCTGTCTGCCTGTCTGTCTGTCTCCCTCTCTTTCTCTCTCTCTCTCTCCATCCCAACAAGTCCCAGCCAGGTTCATCACTGTGTTGTGAGTATTTGCAGCACACATGTTGTCAAAATGATGAAGATATTTTCTTCTTCAGTTCACCTGATGGTTTCTGCACAGATCTTACAGGTAACACAAAGGAGATAAAATGGAGAGATCATCTGAGATAGCACGTCAGCAACGTGTCCCTACTGTCCAAACACAAACCTAACCCTGTGAGGTTAACATGAAAACAATGACATACTGTACATACATTTATGAAATCAAAAAGCCAAACGGTAATAGTCAAACGTATCTCCACCTTACATTTAAATGAATGAGTAACAATGCTCCAGTAACACCATTTAATAATGTTCTTTATCTACTTTAATATGTGACACTTGAGGACAGTTTGCTGATATGACTTCTGTACTTTTATTTAAGATATTTATTATAATACTTACATGTTATGATTGTTGGGTGATGAATATTTTACAGTGTGGTAAAATCCACCAAGTCTTCATACTGTTATCCCAGCATGCATCTTGTGTGTTTTCTGACAGATGAATGGAGTAAGTGACTCTGTTCAAAAGTCTCAGTTACATAAAACATGGAAAATACAAACCACCACCAAGTTGATAATAGAATACTTCACCTGTAACAGTGCGAAGGCCATAAACAAGTCTCTGCAGCACTGCACAGGGGCTATACCTTCAGCACAGAGGACCTCAGGACTGAAGCACATGCAATAACAGAGTGCAGGATATGAACAGCAGCTGTATAATACTGATTCAGTGCAGTGGTGAGATGAGCTCACAGCTGCAGCAGCTTCTGTCTGTTCTATACTGTTTAACAGATTCAGCAGCAGGTCTATACCTGCTCTCCTCTCTGCAGCTCAGGGACCCGATGACCTCTGACCCCTAACACCGACTGATAACAGTTTTCAGTCATCACTGTTTCTTCCCGGGAAAGTAGAAGTTCTGGCGGTACGTTCTGGCGGTACGTGACATGCAGGGACATGCAACCTCGGCTGAACCGATTTAGCTTCTTATCCGTTCATCAGGTCGGAGCTGACGTGAGTTCTCGACGGTGAATCCGGACCCGGTTCCACGGGTTTTTGGTAAAGCCCAGAGACAGCCGAGCCCGCTGGCTGAGCTGCTGAAGCTTCGTGAGGAAGTCATCGTTTCCAACTATGTAAATGAGCGGGTTTATGGCGCTGTTCAGACACGCCAGGCACCGGCCTACCTGGTGCGCGATGTAGATGTCACGGAAACTTGCGCGGCAGATTCCGTTCTGTTTCAGTATCCTGGTTTTCAGGTTGACGTTCCGAAACACGTGGTAGGGGATGAAACAGATGGAGAAGAGTATGACGAGGATCACCACCAGCTTCAGACACCGCTGCTTCAGCACCGGGTTCACGTTGGCTTTTCTGGCGAGAACCACGACGATGTGTCCGTAACAGACCAGAATGATGACCAGGGGCACAGCGAAGCCTGTGACGGTCCAGCCGATGCTGTAAGGCAGGTAGTGGCTGATCAGGTCGTTGGAGGTAGTGTCGAAACACGAGTGTGGAGAGTTGAGGTCGTTCTTGTCAAAGAACATGTCAGGGAGGATCTGAATGATCACCAGGAGCCAGACCATGGCGCTGATGGCCACCGAGTGTCGGCTGGAGATCTTCCCCATAACCCTCATTGGGTGCACAATCCCCAGATACCTGTAGATGCTAATGCAGGTTAGGAAGCCGATGCTGCCGTAGAGGTTGAGGTTGAAGCAGAAACGGTTCACCTTGCAGAACGTCGAGCCGAACTGCCAGTGGCTGTTGCGCGCGTAATAGTGCACGAGAAAGGGCAGGGTGAACAGGTAGAGCAGGTCCGCCACCCCTAGGTTTAGCATGAAGATGTTGATGTTCCCGATGTTCTTCCAGCTGCTGCACACACTCCTCAGACCCCAGATGTTGGACAGCGTCCCGACCACGAAGACAGTGACGAACACGGGCGGCAGAAAGCTGTGCGTAAAGTTCAGATTGATGCCCTCACAGGAGCCGTGCGTCACGTTCCCAGACATCTCCAGGGTTTAAATCACGTTATCATTCGAATGGAAAATAAAACAGCAGCCAGTGGCGGGCTCCTACGGAGCACACATCTCCTCTGGGAACTACACAACTACCAGCACGTCTAACAAACAACTGAAACGAATATGAAACCAAGAAAAGCCCCGCCCACCTCCAGCTCTAAGACACACAACAAATCAACATCAGAGACGTTTACACAGAACAAATCACAGGATATATTCATCATCCTGATCACGACAGACTAAGCTATTAACATGTGATATACCTTCATTTTAAAATATTTATATATATATATATATATATATATGTCTATACAGAGAGAAAGAGAGAATGAGAGAGACACTCCCTCTTGTCAAACACTGATTAGTAATAACCTTTATAAGCACCAACATTTAAATATCTAGTAAGATATTTATAGATAAAAACCATGAGTAATGTCACTTTTATCAGTTGATCAGAGTTTTCTTCTTTAAACAAAAACAGTTCTTCTCTTGATAAATGAGATTTTTACAGAAATAAAATTAGTACTTTTTGAAAATGAAAAAATGCATCCAAGCATTTGCAAATGAAACTTGGGTAGTAGTGAACTACCATAGACTGCACCTCCTCTAATGACCACTAAAGCTCCACTTTTAGCTTCACAGTCTGTAGTGAAGTGCCTGAACAACAACATCTTCCAAACTGTAATCGAGGTCTCAGCAGCTCATTTTACTTTCTCTAACCTGCGTCTTGATTTCTGGAGATATTAATTTTACTTTTATCTTTATTTTTATCATAAAGATGTGAAAACTTAAAATCCAACTTCAGCCACAAATACATCTCTTCTTGCAGCCAAAAATCATATCAACATTTATTATTAAAGCTCCATATTTTCCTCTTCTCCAGTGTTATATAGAAGATATATTTGTGGTTTTAAGAACAAAAAATCATTTCAATGTTGCTTCATAGTTCCTCTCTCAGGCTTCTTTTTCTGGAGCTCTAGTAAAAACTAGTCAATCAGAAGACGGGAGGCTCAGAGCCTCTCTTCTGATTGGCTGACCATTTTCTGAGTGATCTGATAAAAAATATAGCAGATTTCAGGAAACACTCCAACCCAAATCCTGCAAGGTTGGACAGTGGGTCCAGGTGGGCGGAGCTTGGGTGTGATTGAGAGTGGTGACTGCTTTGCTGTGACATCACAAAGTTCCAGAAGTCCTGATGGCTAGTTTTAAGGCTCAGTTTCTCAATACAGGCTGTGGACTTTCTCTGTGGACTGAGCACTTTGATACTTTCACATAGAACCTAGACCTGCTTTATAATCAAACAACACATGGACCTTTAGACTATATGGACCTTTAAAGAATTCTCTCTCCCTCGCTCTGAATATTCTAGTCTACCTCTAAACTGTTGGACCTTTGATATTGGATTATTGAACAGAAGAACAGAAATGCTGTTGAGCAGAGCAGGTCGTGACTGAGTGATGTTTTACCCACGGTTTACCGTAGCTGTGTGTGCGCACTGCTTGAGTCCGATTAGAACTACAGACTGGTATATTCGACTTGATTCAGCCCAACTCTACTTGACATATTCTGTAGATGCCAGACTGCAGCCTGTATGCTCAAGAATCATGGAAAGACCACTTGGGGGGTTCAGGGCTCACCAGATTCATCCATGAACCATAGTCAGGCTATGCTGAAAGGTGTGCAACAATCAGTACTCTAAAACTCAACATATTACATTTAGAGCTTCAGACCTGGGTAGCGTAACACTGAACTCCCCAGTAGTACTCCATGTTTGTATTTGATTAACAGTTGAGCCAACAGAGGCACCTAGACACAAGGTAAACAAACTTCAGCTGGTAGCTCAGGATAGACTGAGTTCTGATCTGTTTCTCAGTGGATGTTTGAAGCTAAACACGTGTAAATGTGTAGATAAAGAGACAGAGCTGACTGCTCTTCAAAATCTGTTTAAGAGTCACTGTCAACCAACAAGAACATTTTTATCGTCACTGCTTTATACAAATTCAGTTTAAAGTGATTTGAAACATGAGAGTTGGGTAGTTTTCTGTTGCTTTCTAAGCTCTGGAGCCAAACGAGAAGTGCAGGAACACAGAGATGGTATAATATGGGATAAAAAGTTACATGTAGCTTATTTTAAATTTAGATACAGATTACTACATAAACCTTAGTGTGGTCTTTCAAACACATTTACACAACTGTTTATTTGCACGTCTGGATACACTTTCTCAAGTCTACACATCTGTTGTCAACTTTCACATCCTGATTGTAGAATTTCCATAATTTTGAAACATTGGCTCAACTTCCTGCTCTGCCACATAATTAGTCAGTGTGTGTCTGTCTGATCATCTTTGTCCTCTGGTTCCCAGCAGATGGGGCCTGCCCCTCAGTCCTGGAGCTGGACCTCACAACCAGGGCAGGACTGTTCGGCTGGATGTGACTGGGGATTGGCGGCAGGTGGCGATACTGCAGAAGCAGGACTCGATCATCATCACCTGCTGCTGGATGAGCCTACCCTGGGGACAGCGGAAGACTATCTGCACTGTCCTGGTGTGGGAGGGGCTGCAGCAGACTCCCTCCGGACAGGTCAGGGCACAGAACCTGGGGCGGTAGGCTCTGGTGCTCCAGCAGCCCTGGTGTTCAAGCTGAATGGAAAGAGGTGAACTGTAGCTGCTCTCACACACCTTCAGCCCCTGAAACACAGTGACAGGCAACATTACAGTAATGATGTAGTTACTCTTGTTGCCTGTCATGTGATGTGAGGTCACTTCCTGTAGGATCTTCAGGTCAGGTGCAGTGCTTCCTTTAGCTGTATTTTCCCCAAAGATCTTTGACAAGGTTGTCTTTTCAGTGTCAGTGTTATCCCAGAAACTGTCTGTTTTTTGTTGTGAAGTGCAGGTGATGTAATTGTATTAGGACTAGCTAATGTTAATGTAGATAAATGTTGACGATAAAACAGTAGACATAAACCTGTGTTGTCTAAATAAATGACTACATTAATAAAATATTAAAATAATTCGTAAAATAAAAATATTTAACACTGTAATTTTATTTTTAAACTCCTTCCGGCTGAGGATGAAAAGTGGAACTGTGGCACAGCTGTTTCCCAATTCAGCGAAACCTTTGGAGGATGTGGTCATACAGTCATGGCCAAAAATATTGGCACCCCTGCACTTCTTTCAGATAATGCACCATTTCCACAGGTGTTCTATGGGATTTAGATCTGGACTCATTGCTGGCCACTTCAGAAGTCTCCAGCATTTTGTCTTAAACCATTTCTGGGTGCTTTATGAAGTATGCTTTGGGTCATTGTCCTGCTGGAAGGCCCATGACCTCTGATGGAGACCCAGCTTTCTGACACTGACACATTGAGCTCCAAAATTCTTTGGTAGTCTTCAGATTTCATGATGCCATGCACACAGTCAAGGCATCCAGTGCCAGCAAAGCAACCCCAAAACATCTTGTGAACCTCCACCATGTTTGACCATAGGGACTGTGTTCTTTTCTTTGAAGATCTCATTCGTTTTCTGTAAACAGAACAATGATGTGCTTTACCAAAAAGCTATATTTTGGTCTCATCTGTCCATTGGACGTTCTCCCAGAAGGATTTAGGCATCTTCAGGTAGGTTTTGGCAAACTCCAGTCTGGCTTTTTTATGTGTCTTTGTCAGTAGTGGGGTTCTTCTGGGTCTCCTACCATAGCATCCCATTTCATTCAGACGTCGACGGATAGTGTGAGCTGACACTGTTGTACCCTATGTCTGCAGGTCAGCTTGAATTTGTTTGGAAGTTGATCGAAGTTCTTTGTCCACCATTTGAACAATCCTTCGTTGCAATCTTTCATCAATTTTCCTCTTCTGTCCACATACAGGGAGGTTAACTGCAGTGCCATGGGCTGTAAACTTCTTGATGACGTTACGCACAGTGGACACGGAAACATTAAGATCTCTGGAGATGGACTTGTAGGCTTGAGATTGTCCATGCTTTTCCACAATTTTGGTTCTCAAGTCCTCAGACAATTCTTTGCTCTTCTTTCTTTTCTCCATGCTCAGTGTGGTACACACAAACACACAACACAATAGTTGAGTCAGCTTTTCTCCATTTAAACTGGTTGCCAGTGTGATTTCTATATTGCCAGCAGCTGTTACTTGCCACAGGTGAGTTTAAATACAAATTAAAGGAGCATCACATGCTTGAAATCCTATGATTTCTTACAATTTTGAAAAGGTGACAATAATTTTGTCCAGTCCATTTTTGGAGTTCTGTGTGGAATGATATCAGATTTGGCTTTTTTTCTCTGCTTTTTTCTGTTCCAATGCAAACAAATGAAATAAACATGTGAATACCAAAGCATTTTTAATTGCAACAATTTTCTGGCAGATGCAGGTGCATTATCTGAAAGAAGTGCAGGAGTGCCGATATTTTTGGCCATGACTGTAGTAGGCCACAAAGGTCCACCGAAATGAGACAGCCTGACGTCAGCAGCTGTGCCCGCCCTTAGCAAAGCGCAGCTCCCTTCGCCTTGGCAACATGTTGGTCTGTTGTTAAAACACAAACTCAAGACATATTAATATTTTATTCTCCAACATAAAATCAGTCAGTAAATACCCTAGTCCTGATTTCTTGAAGCTTTTACGTCTCAGTTGCTAACAAGTGTATAAATGAGACTACAGAGGTGGTCGGGGATGTTAAACGTCATCACATTGAACTTCAAAACTGATCTACTCACCAGTCCACCTTTACAGCCTTGTTGTGTTTATACAAACTATCACTAACTCTGTCAGAGGAAAGGCTTTTGTAGAAGAGGTCAGAGCTAAATCAAAATACAAGTTGAAGTTTAGTGGTGGTGACGTTGAAGTCATGTGACCGGGGTGTAGTTGGTTTATAGCCTAACATTAGCTTTTTACTTCTGCTGATTGTATTCAGGCTTCAAACATCATAAAATGGTGTTTATTAGTGAAGATGATGTGTTGACCAAAGCCTGTCAATATCAGAAACTCTTGTTTGTCACAGTTGTGATGCTAACATCTGGGTTGGCCTACAAAAATACATCACCCATTTGGCGCTCTTTCATTTATATATGTATTTCTTTTACAGTGTCTGTTTAAATTGGACATTTCTGAGTTCCACATAGTTAAAGTTAAATCCATGTGGATGCACAGAGGCTCAGAAACACAGTATGTCACCTCAGTATTTGTATACAGTGTGCACATGTTGTTGGGAACTTTACTGAGAAATGTCTTATGAGTTTGATCACTGGGACTATAGTAACATGTTGATTATACTGACCGGTTGCAGCCTTTGGAGCCCAAGCAGCAGAGTCTGGCATGGCCTGACCTGGCACAGTCTGGTCTCAGTCCGCATGAGACAGGCCCGGTTCCTGTTGGTGGTGCGGCTGGAGACACCTGGGCCGCAGCTGTGGGAACAGGGGCTCCAGTCTGAGGTCCACTCGATGCAGTTGGAGATGGAGCCTAATGGCAGGCCAGACAGCCCACCCCCGTGGTCCTGATGCTCCTGCTCTGCTGGAAAAAAATGCCAGAGTGGAAAGTATTGTGTGTGTGCATCAGGCTGAAAGCTGTTTGAAGTAGGTGTCTTTGATGAGAGCTCATGGGTCAGAAAATTCAGCACATACACAGTCAGACATTTTATAAACTGCTGCTCAGATGAGGTTAGTCTGCTAAGAATATTGCTCACAGATGTTTAATCTTCCTGACACCTCTTAAGTTTTGAAAAACAACCCAAAAGCTAACTGAACCATCATGCTGGCTGAGCTCGGCTCCATGTGGACCTGAAGTCAAAAAGCCTCACAGGAATTAACTGACAATCATCCAAATGCTCAAAATCCTGGAAGAAGTGAAATGAAAATGCCTCAGTCTTCAATATAGCTGAATTTGATGCTTTTCTCTTGCACATGAGTCATGAGTCCTAACAGACTGACCAATTATGATTCTGATGACCTGAGCAGACTAACATGTTGACATGTCAGGTCACCAGCCTCATTACCTGCTGATGGATTTGAGGAAATGCTGTTGTCTGTGCCGTCACACACCCACTCTTTGCAGCAGCGCCCTGGCAGTCTCACCAGCTGACGGTTGGGGCATTTATCAGCAGGTCCCTGCAGATCATCGCTGCACAGTGGTACGCAGGTCACGCCCCCTCCCAGGCAGTGGCAGAGCTGGGCGCAGGAAGGCTGAAATACCTGTCCCTCCTCCAGCCTCCTGCCATTTACCTCACAGCCCAGCTCGTTCCGACCTGATCGCAGAAGGGAGAGAGGGGGAGAGAGGAGGGTGTTATCTGGGTAAGTTATGTGAAACATGTGCAGACAAATAAGCTGCTGGAAGATGATGATCTCATGTTATCTATTACTGTAAGAGCATTAACAAGAAATTCTCAGGTATGTGTTGCAGAGGAGAGGTGTAGTCAGGAACTGAGTCATTTTATCAATCATCCGAATGATGAAAAACATCATTCATCAGCACAAAAATGAGTGGTGCACTTCTTCCTTCAACATGTCTGACATGAAGAACAGGATGAAGGGTTATTTACAGTGTTACGTAAATTAGAGAAGAAAGGCAAAACCTGGTGTTCTTATCATGATGAATGAGTGTCATGATCAGAAACAGTAGTAGTGATAGCAGAGGTGCAGCTGTTAGTCAAAAATCAAACATTATTTGTATAGCCTTCCAAAATCGCTTTCGTTTGTATAATGTTCCATTAATCTTACACATGCTGTGGGATTGTAGAGGGCCTGCACAGAATCAATGAGCCTGTAAGCTATTCCTACTGATCTCTACTCTCAGGAAATCATATGTTGACTTGTCATTTGCTATTTGGTCTTTGCTAACTTAGCTCTTCAACAGAGAGGTCTCCTTTCTCTGGTCTATTCTTCAGTACAGTACAGTACAGGTTGTGGCCTGGGCTCACTCAGCTGATCTCAGCTGATTAAGTTCTCATTTATCAAAGAATTCGGTTAACAGTATTTTCTATTGCAAAGGTGAAATTTGATGTAATGGCTGGCTTCCTGTGTCTGGCGTGTAAGCGTTAAAAACCATGTGTAGCAGCAGTAGTACTGGAAGCATGCTAACACACAGTAGTTGTGTAGCAGCAGTAGTACTGGAAGCATGCTAACACTCAGTAGTTGTGTAGCATTAGTAGCACTGGTAGTTTGCTAACACTCAGTAGTTGTGTAGCAGCAGTAGTACTGTTAACAGCTATAGTAACCTCAGGCTGTGCCTCCCTTAAACACTGTCTCTTCTATTTCTCAGATGTTTTCAGGTGGAAGATGTCTGTGAGTTTAAACACTTTTTAACCAGTTAACCAGGTTATGATTCTGTTTCCTTTTCAAGGTCAAGAATTTATTTTCACACCCAATAATATCAAATGATTTCTTATCATTTATCAATGTTTTTAAATGTTGGTTTTGTGTTTACAAATCCATCAAGAAAAGTGTGACTTCTGATGATTGTGTTTGATCTTGAGTTGTACTGTGGTAAACTGGTCAAAAAGCGTTTTTATTGTGCAACAAATGGAAACAACAACAACAACAACAACAACAACAACAACAACAACAACCACCACAAAGGAGTCCACAGACTCTAATGTCCATCGGATGAAAGCATATTCCATTCAAATTAGTTCTGGAGCTGTGGAAGATAGTCAGGCATTAGAGGTTTAAAATGTTCAAAAAACGAACTAACACCATCAATAGTATGTGAAGGACCTACATTGATGACGTCAGACCAAGATCACCATCTATTGTATTTCAGAGATATCTACTGAAACGAGCTTGCTAACGAACTAACCGCGTACCGGACCGTGTTGTAATACCACCTAGACACACTAGAAGCTGTGTGAGTCAGTGTAGCGTCTAGTCTGCCCTCAGTCCCATTGAGAAGAAGAGCTTCCTCCTCAGCAGGAAGTTAGGCTACAGCTCCCGACTAAAAACAAAAAGCTGCCGACGAGTATCACAGAAACGCGGAGATGTCTGAAGTGCTATCTTTATCTCCATCCCGAAGAACCGCTCCGACAAAAAAACACGTTCAACGGTAAAGAAGCAAAACACGGGTGAACGCTGGTATGTTTTTCCACCGCGGGAGACAGCTCTAGGCGAGTAAAGAGATTAGACTCTTCTTTTAGACTGGTGCGTAACATCTAATGTCGGTCTGTAGCAAAAAGTATCATTAGTGCAATTTACAAACATTACTGACAAACACTTCAAGTGGCATACATGTATGATGTTGATCTTTTAGTGATTTAGTAGAATTTAGCCTGTTCTTGTGGCTGTTGTCCAGCGAGATGCGTCAGTAACTTTTTTACAAGTAAGACAAAGAGACTGTTCGATCCAGAGCCAGCAGGTTCAGGATCCACTGTCTAGTACTGTATTTATTTTAGCATATTCATATCTATCCTTAATATTTATTATATACCCACACAACAGACCTAACATGTTTGAATATAAAGAACTTGTATGATCTAAAGAACTAATTGTCCTATCAGTTTGTCTGTATCAGGACCATAATTTCTGTCCAATCATCCCCAGTGATGGACCAGCACCCTGCCTTTTCTTCTGCATCTGGCTTCATCAATCATCAACAACCACATTACAGTAACATGTTGGAGTATTATCCCTGCACAGAACAGATATTGTCTATACTGTGATCTTTTGTACATCCTGCTCAGAAGGAGTTTTGTCAACACTTTTGTACATAGTTTTTTTCATTGATTTATTTTTTAATATGTGTATATGTATATTTATCTTTTTGGCTGTTGCAGTATTTTACCTTTTTATTGTTATTTCCTGTTAATATGTTTATTGGATACTGCACCAAACACCAAGCCAAATATTTTGTAAGTAAAAACCTACCTGGCAATTAACCTTATTTACGTGTTTCTGCTTTTGTGATGATGTCATCATCCCTTCCTCATGCTGCTATAGCCTGACACCCTTGTGTCATGTAGTATTCCCTTGCCCTCATATTTTTATAGGTAAATCAAAACATACTGTTTGTATTACTATCAACAATTTTAACTATCAAGAATAAATGCACATATAAATAATAAATTATAAGGAACATGGGGAAAATAACAACATGATTAACTGGACAGGGGTGAAGAGGTGAAATGCTGCAACCTGTGGAGGTGGATCAACTAGCACAATCTTGAACATTATACCTTTAACAAAGCTCTCTGGCTTTGTGATTGAAATGTAACAATAAAGACACAGAAACAGGTGCTGTAGTAGTAGCTGGAGTAGCAGTTGCAGTTTTGTCAGGATTAGTTGAAAAATTGATCAGTTGGAGTGTGTTGTGACCGCACCGACACACTGTCCTGGTCCGCCGGGGAAGCTGGCGCTGTAGTCACACTGCAGCCCTCTCTGGGTGTCACAGGGCAGCCGGTCGGTGCAGGCCTCACCCTCCTGCCTGGCACACAGCTGGCAGCAGCCACAGCTGTCTAACATCAGAGGAATGCCGGCGGGGCAGCGTGGCACGGTTGGTGGACAGTGACAGGGCCCCATACACAGCTGGCACCACACCTAGAGTGAGAGGATGAAAATAACAGCCACTGTTAAAACTGTTAGGCAGTAGATTGTTGCGCATACTTTTGACTGTCTCCTCTGCTATTAAACTTAGGTTTGGTCCTGGTCACATTAAATAAAGAATATATGAAGGATATCCACACACATTTTCTTTGGAACTAATTTCTGTTTAAGAAATAGTTCCAGTGAAACCTGCTCCCATGTTTAGAGTAATTAGGACATAATCTCTGCAAAGACATGATGCTGTTCAAACATCATTCTTCAGTGGCTCACACCAACTGGATGGGAGCAGTAATCTGCACCAGATTACCTGTGTCTCTATTCAGATGTTTATTGTTAACAGTTAGCCTGTCTCTCTGCTGTTTGTACAGTATGTTCAGAAACAATCAAATGGAACACAGGAAGAGGAAGTGTGTTCACGTCAGGTGAACCTGTCACACAACTGACACACGGTTACCACACAGTAACCACATACTGTTATCATGAATACACAGACGTGTCATCTGTTTTCCTTTGCTACTCAACACACACACACATACATACACGCAAAGGCTAATACATGTGCCACTAATGAGAGCTGAAAGAAAGAAAGAAAAAGTTTGTAGCATGTTACAAACACATGACCACATTTAAGGCCACAGTAATAGTGTCTACACACCACTAGTGTTAAACTACAACATGTCGGATCATGGCCTGGTCCCATGAATGTGTCATGGGACAATCCCACCGTAAACTCACTGATTATGATATCATCATATAACTGTAACATAACAGGTAAATGCGTTTACAGTTTGTTAGATAGTTGGTTAGTTCTTATCTATGTGTGGGCTCAAGTAAGTAACACATTTCATACATCAGTCTTGATGTGGTCACACACACACACGCACACACACACACACACATATACAGTATATACATATATACATATTGTACATATATACAGTCTTATCACAACCTTGTTCATCCCCCAAAATATATTTTCCCTTCTCCATGGTAAGTAGCTGATTATGACTGGGCCACCCATCTCCCAGAAAACCTAATTTGATGGTTTCCAACTCATATCCCCACTTGGTGCATATATGTACACAGTAACAAATATCTAATGGCGGTTTTATATATTATATTATATTATATTATAATGACTAAAACTTTATGTCAGTCTTCCATAATCACAGTCCACTGTTTGTTACTATGAAAAACATAGGGTACTCCTCCAACCCAACCATTGTCATGATGTATGTACAAAAAGCAGGCATTGTGATAAAGTTGTTTCAGTAGTTATATCACTGATGCTACTGACGAAAACTAGCTCTGCAGATAATGAGTTAATATGTAATATAACTATGCCCTGTCATTTCACAGGTGGGATCTACTGTGGTAGGTCTTACCTGGGTGATGATACACAGCAGCACAGAACAGACCAGCTGGGCAGCTCTTCTCTCCATCTTTATCACCCCCGTCTCCTCTGCTCCTTTGTTCACTCTCACCTCCTTCTTCTCCTCTGGAGAGGATGTATTTATTAAAGCTGACCGCCTCCATTCATTTATACAGTCTGGGTTGTGATGTCACAGGCAGCAGACTGCAAAGTAAATAGTTCCAGGAGAAGACTGAAAGCTACCAGGCCTATCTCCACATTCCTGCTGAAGCTTTTCCACTGCCACAGCTGGAGGGTGCTAACTAAGCCAACATGTGCTGGAATGGCTAAAGAGAAGGAGCTCAGTATAATGCTAATTTACAAATCTGTGGAATCTCTCCGTTGTTCTGTTTGGATTTTACTTTAAAGAATAACATAAGGTGTTTATCTTTCATTTTTTTAAGTTTCTCTCTGTCCCTTTCTCTCAGTATCTTCAATACTTCTGAAGTTAAAGTTACAATAGTCCATGCCTGAACACTAGGGAGTGGTGTTCAAATCTAAATCCAATATTCAGTCTCTTTTCAGCTCTTTGATCTATTTCTGGAAAAATAACTGGTTGTTCAGCTGCTAGATGTCCCGTCCAGTCCTCCAGCCTGAGCAACCAACCCTCTGATACAACCATAAACTGTATATTAAAATGGATGTAGTCTCCGGGGCTGAAAAGTGAAGCCAATGCAGAAGTGTCTTAATCTGCAATACCACGAGGGCTGCTGGGGGCTCACTCCAAAAAACTCTGGGTCCAATACACATTCATTCAAAAAACACCAACTTCTCTCATGAAATACTCAGTCTGTAGGAGCTATTTATTTGTTGTTAGCATTTAGTTGTTTTATTAATAATTAGTATTGTTTGATTATTCTAGATGTTTGCTTTATTTAGATTAGATTTTTGATAGTGATTTCTTTTGCTAGTCGTTTGTTTAGTTTAGTTATTTCCTTGTTTAGCATATTCCTTTTTTTTTGTGTAACTAGTGTTTGTTTTGCTTATGAATTGGGTAACACTGTGGGCACCTGAGGTTACATATGTAAGATGGCAGGTATAGGACCAGAATGCACCTGGGTGGACCTATGTTTTTTTTTTGGAAGGCATGCAGGAAACAGGATCTCTTTGTTCTTTGTTTGCTTGCTTGTTTTTGACAAATAAACCATAAGAAACGCATAAACTTGGCATGGACAATGCACTTCTTTTGCCTGCGTACACCACATGACCATGGTGCATCAGTGGCCCTTTGATTCTAAGTTGATTTTTTTTTTTTTTATGTGTATGATGCTCCCTAAATGTTACGGTTTGAGGTAAGGCTGGACCCAAATGCAGACAACGAAAAAAGGGAGTTGGTGGAAAAGGGTCTTTTAATAACAAAAAGTGAGTTACTTACTAAAAATCCAAAATGGAGAGTAACGGGACAGGAACAGGTACCAGGAGCACGAGGAAACACAGGGAACTTCAACAGGAACCAGAAGCACGGGGGACATTAACAGATAAACTGACCCAGTCTAAGGGGGGCACAGAGACTAAATAGACTAAACTCACACATAAAATGTCCGTCATGGCAACCCATGACACTAAAAGCTTGTTTTTACCGTAGAACGGGAGACAGTTAACATCCAAAGAAGTTAATGTGAATTATGGATGCACTTTGCTAACCTAGCTAGCTAGCTGATAACTTCATGTTTGCTATGCTAATCGTACCTGGTCCCAAAACATGCAAACATTTGCACTCATGTTACACTTTAATATTATTAGAAAAAATCAGTCGCTGACAGAATTTTCCTACATGCAGCAAAACATTCAGGTTTATCTCATTAACTTATTTTCTGTCTCCTCCTCTTGCTGGTATCGTATTGTATTGAGTACAATATACAATGTATACTAGAACATTATCTTGTAGGGGTTTGTCATTTAATACTGTAAATTCATACACAGCAGTCCTCAACTGAAGCAGATATTCATGCACCTTTCCTGACAGCTGGTATATGTGTGTGATTATCTGTGATTTACCATGTCTTAACTAAAGTATTTGTCTTTGATTCATTCAAAGGTATCCACACTGAAAACAAAAAGACTGGTGCCAAAAGAATGAGGACCTCATGTAAGGACGAAGGAAACTGCATGGACATCCTTTGTTCTGAAATGGGCTGTGATGATGATGATAATGCCAGAAAACCACTTCCAGCTCTGCTTCTTCTGATGAAAGGACAGACCAGCTGTTTAGACATTTTTTTTGTTTATTATTCTCTGTCCTCTGTCCTCACAGGTTCAGTTTCTTGCCTTTTACTTAATATCTACTGTTGTTGATAGATGATAGTAATAACATTTTAAGAACAGAATCTGTGCAGCTCTAGCACAGTCACCACCTTCACAGGTGAAAGTATTTTCCAATTTAACATCAAAAAGGTGTTCAGTAGGAAACAGCTTGAACATACCCACCAGAACTGCAACCTGGAGCAAAACAAGACTCTCAACAGATGTGTGCTGCTGTTACATATGTATTCGCCTTACGCACTCTTTAGTGTGAATTGTAAATTAACAGAGCTCATGTACATTGTTTTTATTCATAACTTAATTGTTGTCATCACAAAGATGTTTAATAAATAAACTTACTCTGATTAATTGTACTGGGTATGTTTTTTTCATATTTACGATATGCCTCATGATGAATCTAACAGGTCACTTTGGTGAATTAGTGTTTTCATTGTTATTAAATGTGGTAAGTACATAAGACACATTAGAAAAGCACAAACTCTAATATCTATCTCTAGATCCTGTATTATCACTGTTGAACGACAGCAATATTTAAACATTTCTATAATTTTTGTTGTTGATTAAAGCCAACAGAAAGTCATGTAATTAATTACAAATTAAGAAAAAACCTGAATGTGTTGTTGACAGCTTCTATCCACTAAAGCTTCTATCCACTAAATCAGCAGGTTTAAGCGCTGAGAGCACTTTAACAGCGTTGTTGAACAGGTATTGTCCTTCATGCTCAGGGTAAACTGATACTTTAGACATGTAAGCTGATGTCCATATATTTCTTCATGAATGCTGCTCAAATAGACAAGAAAATTATCCTCAAGTTTCTGTGTTGAAATCACACTTAATGTGAAAGCTGACAGTTTTCCAGGACACAGAGAACAGCCTTCTATCGAGGAAAAGCGCAACGATTTTAAACGCTGAGAGAACTTTAACACGCCGTTATTAACAGTGTATTCGCATGCCTCAGGTGTAACTGATACTTTAGGACATGTAAGCATGATGTCATCATATTCTTCTATGAATGCTGCTCAAATAGACAGGAAAACTTATCCTCAAGTGTTCTGTACAGAACATACAGTCGAACTAGAAAACAATTAAGTTTGCAACACAGAGACACTTCTATCGAGGAAAGCAGCAAGATTTAATCGCTGAGAGCACTTTAAGAGCGCTGTTAACAGTATTGCAATGCCTCAGTGTTAACTGATAACTTTAGGACATGTAAGCATGATGTCCATCATATTCTTCATGAATGCTGCTCAAATAGACAGAAAACTTATCCTCAAGTTGTTAGTACAGAAAAAACATCGAATGAGAAAAATTAAGTTTGCAGAACAAGAGACAGCTTCTATGAGAAAAAGCAGCAGATTTAAGCGCTGAGAGCACTTTAAAAGCGACTTACTTAACAATTGATTGCATGCTCAGGTGTAACTGATAACTTTAGGACAATGTAAGCATGATGTCCATCATATTCTTCATGAATGCGTGCTCAAAATAGACAGGAAAAACTTATCCTCAAGTGTTCTGTGATTGAAATCACACTTAATGTGAAAGCTGACAGTTTTGCAGACACAGAGACAGCTTTCTATCGAGAAAAGCAGCAGATTTAAGCGCTGAGACACTTTAACAGCGCGTCACTTAACAGTATTGCCATATGCTCAGGTGTAACTGATAACTTTAGGACATGTAAGCATGAGTGTCCATCATATTCTTCATGAATGCTGCTCAAATAGACAGGAAAACCTTATCCTCAAGTGTTCTGTGATGAAACACCTCACCATTCTTTAATAGTGGAAAGCTGTACAGTTTCAGACAGCAGACACATCTAGAGAAAGAATTAGTAGTCTCCTCACTGTCACTAACACAAATAGGTTCTATCGAGAAAAAGAAGAAGATTTAAGAACAACAGCTAGAAAACATTTAAAAAGAGCAAATCAAATTAAACAAGTATTGAATGAATCAGTGGCTAAAAATGAATAACTTTAGCCATGTAAAAAATAATGATGTAAATAATTATTTTTAGCATGAATGAATGATAAAATTAGAAAGAAAAATCTATCAATAAAAAGTGTTATAGTGTTGAAATCAACCTTAATGTGAAAGATAAAAAATTTGAAAGGAAAAAGAGAAAGATTAAATATAGAGGAAAGAAAACAAAGATTTTAATAAGATATGAGAGCAAAATTTTTATTAGAAGATGTTGAAAAGCTATTGAATGAAATAAGGTGAAATATAAATTTAGGTAATATTTAAAGCATGATGTAAATAATATTATTAATGAATGAATGAGATATAAATAGAAAAGGGAAAAATTATCAATTAAAGTGTTTGTGTTGAAATAAATGTAGATTAAGTGTGAAAGAATTGGACAATTTGAAGAAAAAAGAGAAAAGAAGTATATAAAGAGAAAAGAAGAAAAGATTTAAGAGATGGAAGAGAAATTAAAAGAAGAACTGTTAAAATGGTATTGAGATGATAAGGTGTAAATGTGATAAAGATTTAGGACATGATTAAGAATTATGTTAAATAAATATTTATTTAATGACGAATGATTGAATAAAATTATGAAAGGAAAAATTATAAATAAAAGTGTTAATAGTAAGGTTGAAATGAAAAATACATTAATGCTGAAAAGATGAAAGTTATGAAAAAAAAAGAGAAAGATAGTTATAATAGAGCGAAAGAGAAGATTTAAGAGATCGATGAGAATTTAAGAAAGAAGTTATTGAAAATAGTATTGAAATGAAACGGTTGCATATGATAAATTATAGAAAAGTGTAA